AGTTGACGAAGAAAGAATGGTAAGGAAGGAATGACAAGCAATGAGAAGTTTCAATCTTCAAATCATTCTAAGAAGCTGTCCTCATCAAAGTTTATGGGTGGCAGACACTGAGCGAAAGAGTGTGATCTCGAATACAAGAGGTAGAAATGAAGTTTCTTCAAAGAACCGCCGAAAAGAAAAGGGGTAAAGATGTTACACCGATAAACTTGGCAATCCTTAACACATATGCCTACAAGCAGCTACTATTCATTTTTCCCTGCTTGCGAAGAAGAGCTACAGCACCAAATCCGTTCGGAAAGTTACATGCCACGGTGATAAGGGCACATACTGTACAAGACGGCTAGGGTTTAGTGAACATCTGGCGTAATCGCGCTGTGTAATTCAGTCCACAGAGCCAGCCGAATTAGCATACGACTACGACAATTTAACACGCTCTAAAAAATACTATTCCCAAACAGAAAATTATCAGACAGTGAAAACATTCAACGAATAAGCAAGTTTTATGAAGTGGCAAAGTACTACTGCGGTTGACAAGATTGGAAAAGGTAAACAAAATGCGGTAGTTTGTTCAAACTGCTTACACAGTTATTTAAACTATCACATATTGATAAACGACTAGTAATAAAATTCAGGGAATTATGCAGCTGCTGAGATACGGGCCTTGCCCATATTTCAGCAATAAGTCACAACTGTTACTGTCATATTTGTGTATGTATATGGCTTTAGATGTAAAGCTTACAATATAATGTATTCCTTATTAAAGTTGGTACGCTTTCGATCAGAAACGCTTTATTTACGAAAGTAATATATGCAGCTGTGAATCAAGTATCGTTGTAGATTTCCTTTCACATGCAGAATGCATGGAGATAATATAATTTTAATGAGCGGACAGCAACGACAGAAGGCGAATCGGTACGATGCTAGGCTCGCAGTTCATAAATAAGATAAAAGTCCTGGCCAAATCATCCGCCTTTATCTGCTGAAGTAAAGTAGTGAATACCACCGCGTAGAAAGACAGCTCAAAATGACGTTCTGTGAAGGATAATCAGATAAAAAATAATTAACTTAAGTGATACACCCAATACACAAAGCAGCCGTAACCTTATGTAAAATCAAAGCATACGGCATGGAAGTGCAAGAAATACAGAGTTAAACTTTTGGATATTTCTGTTCGATTGTAATACTGTATTTTCTACTGTCTGAAGGTATGAACTAAATAAAACTATAAAAATGATAAAATCATTAGTTTAGCAGCAATAAGTGTTATACGTACCCGGTTTCTAAAGCACCTTCCAAACGTTTACAGAGGGAATAGCCTAAAATATGCAAAAATAGACAGTTGTCGCAACCATGTCTGTGTCACGCATGCCGTCAGCTTTAAGTTGGTGGTACTGTTCAGTAATCTGGGCCAGATTATCAGTGGGACGAATTTCGCCTACTTCACCGTCTTCAACTTCAACGTCGTTGGGAGCATGTTTCGTCGTAGCAACAGACGTTAAAGTGTCGGAAATCTGTAAGCAAAAGAAACTATGCCATAGTTTATAAATTAACTACCAATTTATACGCAATTTATGCTAAAGTCCATTTGTACACAAACAGCAACTTAATTTAAAATAAGCCGCATAAAATCACACATGGACGTAAT